CCTTGCCAAAGCCGCGAACTCCGTCGTTGAACGCTCTCCTGGGAGAAACAAAACGGTTCCCGGCTCCTCTCTCTCTCTCCTCTCTCTCTCTCTCTGCTCTCCTCGTCTTCCTCTCTCTCTTTCCCTCTCTCTCTCCTCTCTCTCGTCTTCTCTCCTCTCTTTCCCTCTCCCATCCCTCTCTCTCCTCCTCTCTTCTCTCTCTCCCTGCCCTCTCTCCCGGTCAGCAACTTGAGCTCAAATATACACAAATAATGCATAATAATTTGCTCGACGGAGCCGTAATATTTTCACCCGGACCTTAACAATGGACGTCTCCACTTCTCAGCTGCCAGCGTCCCTCTCGTTGTCCTTCCCTCCCCGTTTGAGCGGCGGCGGCCTGGCGGGCGGCAGGCTTCATGAAAGCATGGACGAGGGCGGGAGGGGCGGGGGAGTGACAGAGGAGCGTGGTGGTGTGTACGACCACAGAAAGTGTTGGTCCATCAGAAGCAAAATCAAAAGAAAACGCAGATTAAATCCCGGCGAGTGGTCCAATCAACCGGCCGAGAACCGTGTTTATGCAAAAGCAGGAGTGAGCGTCAAATTTCAAACCACAGAGCTCGAGCTTCTTTGTTCTGTGGCGCGAGGAAGAGTGAGGAAGGCACCTTTATTTACATTGTTTGTATAAATATACTTATAATAATATTTGTTTATTATAGCTTGTTAAATCCAATTCAACAGGGATAGAACAATAAATGCTTTTTTTTAAAAATAAGTTAAAAAACAAATATTTTGACGGCAGCAGAGGGCAAGAGACATCGCGTTTGTTTTCAGGCAGCTCCCATGCCCTTTTTCTTCCAATAACTCCCACCCCCCCCACATTTGTAACACATACATTTTTAATGTCAGACAGCCCGAAGCTGGAATTATTGACCCCTTTAACCTTTTTTCTGTGTCCATCTCCAAGAAGACAAAATAACAGTAATCAGTCTTACTAGTCTGCCTGGCATGTTGATCTGAGTTCTAACCCGTCATATTCAACAACATAACACTCTCAAATGTGGTCCTGGATTATGCATTATGTGCTTTTGCCAATTTTAATATTTTCATTTTACTTTTAAATATTATTTTATTGCCCTTGTGTTTTTGTTTTTTTTTTGCTTGCAATTGCTGCCAATTATTTTTTCGCACCTACTTTGTAACCTATGTTTAAGTTTAATTGTTTTGTTGGCTGGTAAAGATCCAGGAGTATTTTAATTTGTTGGACGTTATTAGTTGCAGTGATGTTTCAGCGGGGGTGAGATCTAGAGGGGCCATCCCTAAAAAATGCCTGGAGTTTTTAATTTATTGATTTCTAATGCCACCTTTAGATATTTCTAATCACTGCTTTACTGATGTGCAATGTAATGTTTTGAATAAAAATATAATATCACATAATAATATGTGCGACTGTTTGTGATTAAGTTTGCATATATTTCTGCCACCTCTTAAAGTCTTACCCTATGAATAATAATGGGTGTTTCTCTAGATCCGCCCCTGCGTCTCAGTGTTTCTGCTGTTGCATGCTGTATAGGTCACGTGTGTGATTCTCTCTCAATCTGTACCAGCTGACAAATATAGCTGGAAGAGAGATGCAATATCATCAAAGAGGGATTCCCAAGAATCTCTATTTGGGGTTGTAGGCATGAAAAGTTTAGAGCTGTAGCTCCAATAGAGCGCTGACACTCTCCACACTCCTTGCCCCTTTTCTTCCACCCACGTGTTTATTCTCTGTGCTTAAAATGAAATTTGAGACACCAGGTTGCATGAGTAGGCTAATATTCTTTCTTCTGTCCACAAACACAAACACACACACA